ACAGAGAGGCTGGGAGTCCTGTCCCGGGATTTTTAGGCACCCATGGGACAGGGCCAGGGCCTAGACACTGGTGAAACAAAACAAAACAAAAGGCAGGCTAAGGCTAACCCCAGGAAGCGGGGAGGTCCCCCGGTTATAAGGACCCAAGTGGCCTTAGAATGGCTCCTTCTCAGTTTATCTAAAAGTGAAGGCTTTGGCTGCTCCCTCTGAGCTTGAAAGTGTGAGCACTAACAAGGATGACAAAAGCTGGCATTGTGATAGCCCAGGAAACCACAGATGCCATATTCAGGAGGTTTGCCAGGGTCTCACTCACTGTCATCAAGCGCCTCACACACACACACACACACACACACACACACACACACCGGCAATCTGGGGCGTTCCCAGAGACCTGGACGTAGACACTGCCCCAGGAATGGGCACAGCCCCACATGCCCCCCTCCCCCATGTCCCTTTCCCCTCCAGGAGTGGGCATGGTGGCTGTAGCCTCGCCTGGCCCTGGGGCAAGTCATTTAATCTCTGGGTATTAACTTCTGCTGTCCATAGGCCAGCATGTGTCTCACCTGAATCACAGAATAACTGCGAGGCTGTCCACCCAGGTACAGGAGTCTGGTTCCCCATCAAGGAGATCTGGCTTCTCGCTCAGCCCAGTCCTGTCACAAACTTGCTGTGTGTCTCCAAGCAAGTGTCTCACCAGCTCTGTAAAATGGAAAGATGACATTAGATTATTTCTAAATCCAGTTCCAACTCTACTGTTCTATGACTCTGTAGTATATATGAAAACCCCAAAGAATTTTATCTCTAGAGGTGAGAAATCCATTGCCAACTGCAAAGTGCTCCTTGAAGACAGTGTGAATTTCTATCTGGCCTTGGATAGAAATGTATGTAAAATAGCTGTGAGAGTTAGGGATGAGGGCTATAGGACTCCAAAAAACTTGCTCCCCAAGGTCTGTCTGAACCTCCTCGTAGCTCCGATAAAGCTGTCTGCTAGCTTTAGAAGGCCTGCCAAACGTGACAGCTATTTATGAAATAATTTACCTTGGAAAGCGCAAAAACTCATGGTGGAAAAAACCGCAATCACACATACATCCTGTTTGCATTTCTCTGGGCACTACGGGCTGTTCCATCAGGACCCTGTTTGCTCTGAAGGCCTTACCGAGGCTGGGGCAAGGTGGGGTGTTCCCTCCTTAACCACAGGGGCAGCCAGGGAAGGGGCCTCCCTCTGCAGTCTGAAAGTGAAACCCTCTGCCCCCGAAAGACAAGTGGGATCGGGAGGCTGCTGTGTGACGCTAACCCAGGGGTCCTGTGCCCCCACCTGGCGCTCTAGACTGAAGCAATAGTTGCCAGTAGTGGCCAGAGACACAGATCTAGAGATGTATTCTAGTAGTGGAGAAGGAAAATCCCTAAACGGCTTAAAAGGCCAGGCATTTAAGACATCCCTTTCATGTGGCTCGGAGGGCGAGGAGCAGCTTCCCTCCCCTCCACCATTCATCACCTCCAACATCACCTCCAGCAGAATCACAACTGCTGGTACCAGCAGTTAGACGCCCACACCTTCCCCAGCTCATTCTGCCTCCTCGGCAGTCTTCTGATCTCAGTGAATGTAGCTATTGTTGCTTTGTAAATGAGGAAACGGGAAGTTCAGAAAACCCAAGAGACTTGCCCAAGGTCACAGGACTCTTTCTTGGAGTCAGCTAAGGCCAGGTTCTCTGGGGATTCTCAGACACTTCTGCAAACACGGCTCCTCCCCTTGATGGGGATGGAGACGGTTGCATGTCAGAGAACTAGAGAAATCCCCTGGCAGTGTCCTGATCTTTGGGCTGACAACCTTGGGAGGTCTTGGGAGGAGCTCGAAACAAAGCACACAGCAAGACATCAGATCTGACTGATGGGAAGAACTAGACAAGAATATTTGAAACCAGAGGAGCCTCAAGTTCAAGGCCAAGAGTTCTCAACAGAATAGAGCAGGGAGAGAAGAGGGTGTGAGGACTTCCTATCAGCAAAGGACTCTGACACCAGCTTCTCAGGGAAAAGAAGACACAGCCCATGTCACATACGTCCGTGTGTTCTTCTGGGACCAAGCCATGCTGAGAGTGTTCACACGTGAGAGCACTGACTGACACCCCCTCCCCAGAAGGGGCATGAACGTGCTTACAGCTTTCCTTTGTCCTTTTTTTAATCTTGATGAAAATATTGCATTTTTATATGCCATGGAGGAGCAAAGAGAATCATAGCTCCCACTTTAGTTTTCAGAACCAGCTCCCGATTCTTGCGTCAGTTCTAACAGTGATGAAGCTCTTTCCCCTCTGGGCAGCTGATGCAGGGCCAGTATCCGCCCTGTAGGGGGATCACCCCAACATTCACACTGTGGCTCAGAGACACTCAGTGCCCAGCCCAGGCTCCTCTGTCCTGTCTCCTCTTCTTTCCCATCCATCAGGAGGCCACAGTGCCTAAGTCAGGAGAGGAGAGGTGGATAGAAGGGGTTTGGGCTTGGTTGACCATGGCCAGCTGCCACATGACCAGTCCACAGCTCCAGGTGGGTCCTCTCCCTAACTCCTCTCCTCTCTCTAAAAAGAATTATGTGCAGGACTTGGGGGAGGGGAGGGGATCCCAAGGAGGACGGATTCCACAGGGCCCCCCTGCATACCTAAGCAGCCTAGGGGAAGGAGAGAGGGGGTGTGGGCATCAGCCCAGGCCCCAGCGCCCTGAGAGCAAGGACAAGCAGCGCTGTGAAGATCAGCTCCACGATCTGGGCTCCAGTCTCGGTCCCAGGGCCTAACAGCTGTCCGGCTATCTGGCCAAAGTCTCCTGCCCCTCTGAGGCCACTTGCTCCTTTTAGAAGCAGGTTACAAATATTGAGCAAGTACCACCTATGTGCCAGGTACAGTAGCAAGTGTGAAAAAGCAGTTACATGCCTGAAGAGTTATTAATCAAACCATCACACACAGCCACATCTCAATGCTGAAGGGGATAATAACCCCACTCCTGGGAGGTGGGGGGGGGGGGTGCAGACTGAGGCAGAAACTGCATCTAAGCAGCAGAAACCCACAATGCCTGCTGTGTTATCCCACTCTCAGAAGGCATCTCATGGAGGTAAAGGGTTGAAAGAATAGGCTGTATTTGTCTGCACTCTAAGTTCTAAGCGCTTCCCACTGGAAACCCATACTTACGCTCTGAGAGCAGAGGGCTTTATTTCCCCCAAATTCTTGATGGGAGACTGAAGACCAGAGAGGGTAAATGACCCCCTCCAAGGTTCCAGCCAGGAGACCCAGGCTTCAGAAGCCCACGCAAGGCCCTGAGTTTTGCACCCCCTCGGCTGGCTGTTGACGGAAAGGCTGGGAAACCTTGAGCCCGGGACTGAAGGGGGTGGGAAATGGGCCTTTTCCTGGCGCATTCTCAGCAGCGGCGGGGATGTGCTCCGGGAAGGCGGCCCCTCCCTCCTGGCCCTCCACTGCCAAGGTCATAGGACGCGAGGGAGGGGGCGGGGCAAGACGCGTCCTCTCCCTCAGCCCACGCGGGGCTTCCCAAGGCCGGAGAACTCGCCCTCTCCTTTGCTCCCCGGCCTCACCCCACTTCCCGCACCCAGCAGATGTGCAACCTGGACTTGGACCCCGGAGCCCTGGCTGCTGAGCCGCGACCCCCAGCGCTCGAGCTTTATAAGGAGCTCCCGGGGGTGGGCGCCGGGGGAGCGGCTTCGCCTCCACCTTCTCAGGTTCCGCAGGTGGCCAGCGGCGGCCAAATCGCTTTGCCACGCGCCGGCCCGCGCCCGGAGCCGCCCCCGGGGCTTCTCCTTGGGTCCCCCGCCGCTGCAAGGGCGGCTGGCGGGCGTGGCGCAGGGGAAGGGGTGAGCAGAAGACGTGAACCCTGGGGACTGAGTGCAAAGCAAGAGGGCGGACACGCGGGACGGCGGCGGGCTGCAGTTCCCTGCTGGGATGCTGGGCGCCAAGGAGCTTGCGCACCGCAGCCCGCTCCGCAGGGGGCTGCTTCCTGGCCCGACCCCACCTGCCTAGAGCTGTCCCCCACCCCGCCCACGCCTCGGTGAGCTGTGAGGATGGCGCGTCTCCCAGCCATGCTCGCAGCCGGGTGGGGCGCGAGCTCAGAGCCCGGGCACGTGGGGCGCAGTTTTCTCTGCAGCACCTGATGTGAAGAGCAGAAGTGGCGGCCCCAGCCTAAGGTGCTGTCTAGTGGGCCGGCCGGGCGCCTCTCCAGCCGCTGCGCCCCTCGAGGGAGGGCAGCCGCCCTACCCGATGAGCGTGCAAGCCCCTTCTGCGCGTGTTCCATGTGAACTCTGACTCGGACTGTCTGCGTTTGACTCCTGCGTGGGGGGATGAACTGTATGAACCTGACAGCTCGCTTACCTTCTCTGTGCTTAGCTTCCTGGTCTATAAAATGGGGTTAATACTAGAACTCACCTGGCTGAGTTATTGGGCAGATTATGTGCCTAATAAATACAAAGACAGGTGCGAAGTCCCTGCGGCCCTGTTAATGGCCTTGGTGGTGCAGGGGGTTCAAAGATGGATTTTCCAGATTCGGCCCCTCTGTATGGAGGGGGGGGGGGGAAAGAAGCACTTTTTTTACACAGGCTCCAACTCCCCCTGGACAGCTTGCTAAAAGGCAGGTTCTGATTCCAATCCTGGGGAGGGGAGACCCCAAGATTCGCATTTCTAACAGTTCTCTGGTGATGCCCCATCTCCAGAAAGAGAGTTTAGAGGACCTTGTCCCATACGCTTGCGGTCTCTAATGTCAGGCTGGAGAGCAGGCGGGGTGAGGAAAGCATTAAACCCCCACAGACAGCTTCTGGTACTCGGGAATAAAAAAATGGGGGGAGGGAGCCTTCCTGATTCTCAGGAGGTTTAAGACCCAGAAGGATTGATAAAGGGACAGTGTGGGTTCTTCCTCAGCAGCCTTTAAAGATAAAAGAGACCCGAAAGACCACCCCACTGCTTGAGGACAAAAGAAAGACTCCTGTTCAGTCTTCACTTGGGGCCCTCTCTCCCCAGACAACCAGGAGAACCGAGGGAAGCCGGAGGGCGGCGGCAAGGCCCGCAAGGAGAGGACAGCTTTCACCAAGGAGCAGCTGCGGGAGTTGGAGGCTGAATTCGCCCACCACAACTACCTGACCCGGCTCCGGAGATACGAGATCGCGGTCAACCTGGACCTCTCCGAGCGCCAGGTGCCCCGCCTCCTCCCCACCACTCCACCTTCCTCTGCTCTCACCCTTTCACCCCCCTGTGCTCCCCACCTTCCCCTTTTTCTTCTCCCTCAGCCTGCTGGTGGCTCCTCACTGCTCTGTCCAGAGAATCACCTGCAGAGATTTTACTAACACCCAGCTAAACTCCACCCTTCCGGGCTACTTTCACCTGGGATGGAGTCCTGGCTTCCCTTCCTAGGTGTGGCCAAACCTGGGATGGGTTATTCCCAAACTTGGGTGGATCTCTGAGTCAGGTAGGTACTTGTTGAAAACACAGAGTCCAAAATAACGAGTGATCAAAAACAAAGATAAACTCATGCCATTTGCGGCAACATGGATGGGGCTGGGACCTAACGCTCATTGAACTAAGTCAGACGGGAAAGATAAATACCAGATGGTGTCACTAGCGTGTGCAATACAAAGAACCTAGGCTAAGAGGTAGATCAAAAACAAGCTTAAAAACTAACTCTTGAAAGTTGACTACAAATGAAGCCCCCAGAGGACCCTTTCTGGTGGCACAGGGGGTTAAGTCGCAGCATTATGAAGCTCTCTGCAGCCGCTGCAGCACGAGTTCGATCCCCAGCCAGGGAGCCGACCCACGTGGCACAGCAGACCTCTCCTGTCTCCCTGCTGCTCCCCTCAGCAGTGTATTTCAGTAGATCTACCTGTTCTGCTCCCCACTCTGTCTCTGGTGAATTCTCCTACCCCCCAGCCTCTGGCCTGTATTCCAGTTCTTGTGTGCATGAATGGATTTTAAAAATAATAATAATAAAGAGCCCCAGAGAGGAGAGGGAAGGATAAGAACAAAGAGGGAAGGAAGCACAATGGCTACTGTGGGTGGTGGGTGACTGAGGTAGCAGTGCCCGACGGGTGTAGGGGTATCCAAAGATTGCCTTCATTAAAAATAAACTTTAAAAATAAAACAAAAGAACAACACAAAAAAACTACAGGCGCCATCTGAGGAAGTGTGACCCTAAGCCTCTGAATCACTATCAGTATTGGAAACCTATGTTACCTCAATAATATACATGATAAGATTTTTAAATAGAATGCCGATGCCCGAGTCCAGAGAGTGATTTTGCAGCAATCATGGTAAGACTAGGAATCTGCATTTCTAGTAAGTTCTCCAAGGGATTCAAATATGCAGCTGCTCCCTGGACACACTGAACTACTTCCTAGCCCTTTGTTCTGGGCCCTTCCTCCCAGCATTCCACCCACACCCATGCCGCCTTCAGCTGATAAGGCACCCGGACCTGCTGGGTTTATCATCAGGAGACTTCAATTCAAATCCTGCCTGGATCACTTCTAGCCCTATGACCTCTGGGACCTGACTCATAACCTCTCTGGGTCTCTATCTGAAACCTCTGGGAGTCTGTCTGGATCGATGTGGGGTAGGGGCTGGGAGAATATTACCAACCTGCAGGTAATACTGAAGCTCAAGTGAGAAAATGTACAGACCAGAGCTATGTTGAAAGTACCGTATCAATGTGGCTATTGAGCCTGGCCCTAAGCCCTTGGGGTTCAAGAGCTAGAAGGAGGGGGTGTGGGCACAGGAGGGGCAGAGTGTGTGAAGGGGTGGTGCCAATACTTGAGTGACTTAGAACCCCTTCCCAGGCTTGATCCAGAGACACCGGACTGACCTTTCTCACCGACTGGCGTGTCCTTAGTTTGATCTCCTGCATTGAATGAAAAGGGAGCAAGCAGAATTTGGAGTTGGGGTCCCTAGAGCTGCACCCTAGCTAATTTTTGCATCAAAACAGAGATGTGGTTGCACCTGCCTTGAAGTGAGAGGGCTCTTTTGCTTCCTCCTCAGGTCAAAGTGTGGTTCCAGAACCGGAGGATGAAGTGGAAGCGCGTGAAGGGGGGTCAGCCCATCTCCCCCCGTGGGCCAGACCCCGAGGACGGGGACTCTGCAGCCTCTCCCAGTTCAGAGTGAGACTCTCCAGAGAGAAAAAGAGACTGAGGACTTCCTTCCTTCCCTACCTAACTCCCCCACCTTACCTCCCTCCCCTGCCCCCTTCCCTGGGCAGCCGCTTCCACGCCCCACAGTGACTTGGATCTGAAGTTGCCCACAGCTCCTGGGAGTGTGAAGAGTTCCAGAAAGTTCTGTCCACCATTGCTCTATCTCAGCAGCCCCTTGCCTGGGCCTTTGCTTCCCACAACCTTTGTGGGCCACAAAGCAGCCTGACCCCTTGGGAATCAGGGGAGCAACTCCACAGATGCTGCTTCTCGGGGCTCTCTTGGCTGCCACCCACACTTCCTCCTACAGCGCCAGGCCCTTCAGACCTGGACATCACTGTGCTGCTGGGAGAGGAGCCGTGGGCCAGCTGCTGAACCGGGAATCACATGCTCCAAAGAAAGACTAGTGCTCACACACACACAGCTTCCTTCGTGGGCTCTGGCTGAGGCTTTGGTTGCCTCAAGCCCCAGGAAAATCAGTGTGAGGAGGGTTGAGGACCAAAACTCCACAAATCAGTCCCTGCCTCTAAAAGTGTTGGCCCTTAAGTGGGCAAATTTATGAGCACCAGCTGAAAGAAGACAGTAGCCAACAGCCTAGAGTAGGGCGCTGTGATCCCTCCGCGGCCCGGCACACCAGCTTGGCTGGCGGTGGGGAGACTGAGCCAGGACAGCACCTGTCCTGCCAGCTGAGTCCAGGGGTACAGCTGTGGGCCAGGCCCCAGAGCAAAGGAGCAGCTATTCCTTTTAAATCCACATTTTATGGCTTGAAAACCTGTCCAGATGTTCACATCAGGGAGTCAAGAGCCCCCAGTGGTGGCCCCCCATGTTCTGAAGATAGAGAGGTCACGTAGTGTTGCTGGGTGAGGACTGAGACACGTGGGAACCAGAAGTGGACGTTCTTGCAGCTATTCTGTCCTGTACTCCGACCACCGGTGGGGACGAGAATACAGCCCCTCTGGCTCCATGGATGCCTGTGAGCCCCTCTCATGTGTTCCCCGAATGCTGTGTTCAGGGGAGGAAGAAGCTGTTGAGTTTGTGTGGTCTGCCCAGACCCAGGTGACGCCCTAGTCACCTGGCTAGTCAGGTGAGGGGGAGAGGGCGGAAGCCTGGGAAAGAGAACCCTGCCGCCTCCATGCTCTGTCCCCCAATACCAGCTGGTATTGCAGAGGGAGGTCAGCAAGAGTTTGGAGCTCTTGTATATAGATTTAATCATTTCTGTGTAAAAAGAACCCCGCGTCCCCATCCCAGAAGGACAAATGCTGTGGGAAATGATCGCCAAGTGAGATGGCTGGTGAGAGCATGTGTCATTTTTTTCTAAAGCATACTTCATATATTTTCTTAAGATCACATCAAGTTCACTGTGCAAGTTCAATTCCCTTAGGAAAGAAAGCTCTTGGAGAAATTAAGTCAATTAAAAAGCAAAGTTCCCAGGCCCTTCAGAGCTAAGAACCACAGTCCTGTGTTATCTTCTGTTGCACCTGTGATAATTGGCTGGACAACATCTAGAAGCAACAAAATGAGGGAAGAATTCATCTAGACCAAAGTATCCCCCTTGAGGCTCTTCAAAACATGGAGGTACAAATGTAATCAATGCAGGGAAAATGTCTTTTCTCCTTTGCAACTGTATTGTTTTCATTTCCTGTCATAAAATGTTAGCTTTCCATTTTCCTAACCTACGACTTATAGGAGAGTCACAGTTCTGTAAACAAGGATGAGCGCTGTGTGATAAAGGAAACTCACCCATAAACTAACCATCCCTAATCTTTAAATTCAATGTCTGGAGGGTTTTGTTCTTCAAAATGAAACAACATGCCAATAGTAATAAAAATGACAGAAGAAAACATGTCCCCAATTCTATGTCTTTTTAATTCAGCAAGACCTGTCTTACCAAGATGTCAGCCTTGGACAGAATATCTAGGGAGGGGAGGGAGCAGAAGTGGCCAGGCCAGGGGCTGACACTGAGGCCGTCGGGGCTGCTGTGGGCAGCGACCAGAAAGGGCAGGTAGAGTGAGGCAGACTCACCAAAGTGAGCCCCAAGGGAAAGGGACTCACTGAGGTGGAACCTCAAAGCCAAGTAAAACAGACACGCTCAGACACCCAAGTCTGGCCTCTAAATCACCCCCCCACCCCCCACCCCCCGTGGCTTCAGAGGGCCTCAGCCTCTGATGAGTTTCCTTGATGTCCAGAATGAGGCCCTCCCCTTTGTCCCCCAAATGCTGTTCCTTCTCAGTCTCCCATGCATATCCCCTCTTCTGGTTCCCAAGATTTCCTTTCCATACCCCATCTCCCCCTTCACACTCACCCCAGAGAACCCCATCTAGCTTCCATTTTTCGATTCTGGCAAAACATTCAGCCTATACAATTTTAATCACCTTGAGAAGTACAGTTCTGGAACACGTGCACATTGGGGTGCCAATCATTGCCCCCATTTGTCTCTAAAATTTTCTCACCTTCACGTCCCCACTCAACAGTAACGCCGCTTCTCTCTCTCCCCTCCATTCACCTACAATACCGTGTTAACTGTGTCCCGGGCACTCTGTCCCACGGACTAAGTTCATTCTCTCAATAGCCCAAAGATTTAGGGTCACCTCTTAGGAGGGGACAGCTCAATAGAAATACAGAGGAAGTTTACCACGTAATTACGGCCCACCGAATTTTCAGCAGTAGATCCATGGCTGGCATCACAGAGCAACATTAGCCAATGTCTTCAAAGAAAAAAAATTCTTTCCAGATGAGAATTTTAATTCCCACGATAAATACAGCTAATTCACTGAGGAGTGTCTGAGTGTGAAGTCAAAGTGCATGCACATCAATCAAGCATTTTCTGGTTCCCCTGGACCAGTCCTACTTTCCTCCCCCTCCTCGGTGGGGGCCTTTGGTTGGCCAGCGCTGGGAGAACAGTGGCTGGGGCCAGGTGTTCTTCAGCTTGGCAACAGCCTCAGGTTTCTCTGCGGCGCAAAGCTGCAGGAGGGACAGCAAGGTCCCTGCTGATGACGCCCTGAGGTGAAGTGACTGGCCCGCAGTGCGGCTTGGTAAGATTCCACAACCAAGGCCCCTAGAGAGTGGTTTTTCAGTAATGGGTTTCTCCTTCCTCAAGAGAGCATCAGGGATGAGCAAGTGTGTGGCTGCCCTTTGGAGGAGGGTAGAGAGATGAAAGGGAGACAAAGGGAGAGAACATCTCTTTCTAAAGAAAGGGCCGAGCTGGACTCAGAGCTTCAGAAATCTACCGTCTGCGCAGCCAGGCCCGGGGTGTGGCGCATAGCTCTTCTCAGAGGAAAGAACTAGTGTCAGGGCCTCCCTGGTGGCACAGGGAGAGCACTAAGTCTCGGCACTGCGAGGCTCTCGGCAGCCACTGCAGCATGAGCTTGATCCCCGGCCAGAGAGGGACCCACATGGCGCAGCAGACCTCTCCTGGCCCGCTGGCTGCTCCCCTCAGCAGTGTATTCCAGTAGATCTGCCTGTTCTGCCCCCCACTCTGGTCTCTGGTGAGTCCTCTCACCCTGTCCCCCTGCACCTTCAGCTTACACCCTAATTCTTGCACACATAAAATAAAGATAAAAAAATCTTTACAAAGCAAGTGTCAGACAGGGATGCTCTTTCCTGTCTGGCCTCCAAGTGTCACTATTCCAAAACCCAGGAGAACCCATGCGGGAGACTTTCCTTCCACCAAGTGGGAATGTTTTCCATTAAAAGCTAGTATCTCCGCCAGGCAGGAGGCCTGTCAGCCAGTTCCTTATAATGACCAGTGCAGCAGCTGTCACCATGTCCTTCCGGCCACTACAGCTCTGGACTCTAGAGTGCTCCTTCTCTCTCCACTTGGCCTCCAGGTCCCCTATGCTGCAAATACCCTGACAGGTACCTTCAACGTACCTCGAGCCCATGCCCTTCTCTAATGCCACCGTCCTCCCTGGCCACAGTCCTCCCTTTATCGCTGTCTTCCCACCATGGATGTGTTCCTTTATGGGTGGCACAACAATTTATCATTCTTTTATTTGTTGTTAGCTTATTAGTTTGCAGTTTGCTTTCCAAACGGGGACAAAGAAAAGGGATGATGTTACTCTGACCATTTTACTCCCAGATGCTAATGTGGCATCTGGTACATAGTAAATCTTGACATTTCTTGCAAGGATGAGTAGATGGATGGGGAGGTGGATGTGGGGGGGAGTTTTTAAATGTGTGATAGCAAAACAGGTGAACGGATCAAGACGATGTGGTCCACATACGCGATGGAATACTATTCAGTAGACAAAAAAAGACAAATTCATGCCATTTGCAGCAGCATGGAGGGAGCTGGGAGGGATTATGCTCAGTGAAATAAGCCAAAAGGAAAAAAAAGTATCAGATGGTTTCACTTGTATGCAGACTATCGTGAAACCACACGACGGGGCCAGGAAAAACACAAAACTTGAGGGCTGATCGCAGATCGGAGGACACAGCTGGGGAGAAGGCAGCGGTGGGGGCGGGGGGTGCGGTCAACACAGCCGAGGGAAGAGCACAAGGGACTGTGCTGACGGATCCCGGGCGCTGCGGTGCTGGGAAAACTCCAGGGACTGCACCTTAGAGGAGAACCCAATTACTATCCCAAAAAATGTTCAATGATGTAAGAAAATAAACACTGAACAATAAAACATATTAGTGCTATCAGTTGGCTTCTCAGCCCACAGCAGCACAACTGGACACCAGGCCATGGGGAGAGCGCTGGCGAGAGGCCAGTTAGACCGTCTGGCTTGATGCTGTCAGGACTCTCGGGCCCACTGCGGCTGGCAGGTCACGGCCTCGTCCCAGAACAGCGGCCCCGGGCGTCCACGCTATTTCTGTCTCTGAAACAGGAACTGCCCAGAGGAGCCGTCTCTGATTCTGGCCCTTCGACCACCTTCTGTGCCACGTCTTCCCCCCCCTCCCCAGCCCTGAAGACTCCATGTGTCTTTTCCCTTTGACCTGCTCTTGGAAAGAAAGAGCTTCCAGGGCCTGGTCACTGACTACAGCAAGACGCAGAGGCAGGGCCGATAAGGCACCTAGGAGCAACTTACACACAGCTCTGAGGGAAACACTTGATAGCTCGACGGTGACATCAGGGTCAGGGCTAACACCCTATTGA